GACTTACCACCAGCCCATCTGTTGCGGCGGCTTTCATGGCCGGCGGCGAGAAAACGCCAAATTAGCCGTCGATAGCGCTTGGCCGGGGATGAGGAAGATGGAGCGCCTAATTGACTTTTTAAGCCACTCTCATGCGTGATGGCCCGGGCTGTAAACGCCTAGAGCTAGATGGACCGGTGGGCGGTGGCGTGGTGCTCTGGCCAGGCTATGTCGTGGACAAGGCGCACGAGCGGGTTAAAATGGAGCGGCACGTCTCGGTTAGCAGCAGCACGCACACACGCTCACAGGAGATGGGACCTATAAGATCGGCGTGACGCGTTTGAACCGAGGTGACCGGACGCAAGCGGGGCTCACCAACAGCGGCTAGCGAGTCAAAGCAAAGCGCGTCAGGGAAACGTCCCATTACTTCTGTGGTCGGACACCATTCCGACACAACAGCAGGGCTCCAAGGCACGGATGGGCGCGGTAGGTAGAACGAGGGGCGGAGTGAGCGCCACGTCGACCAACGGCGGCCACCAAGCCACTGGCCCGGCCTTGCGCATGGCGCAGCGGCACGGCGGCGGTTGCAACAGCACGGACAGGGAGGGATAGCTTTGGGGCGACACGGCAGTAGCGACGGTGTCGGCCAGGCAGCAGCCAGCTAGGGCCGGCCAGCGCTGGCGTGCGGAATAGCTGCAGCCGGCCCTTGCACGGCACAGCCGACGCACAGCGCGGCCGAACACAGCGGCACCAGGCAAGGGCGCGGTGACCGCAGCCACAGGGACGAACGGCCGAACTAATGTAGTGCACGAATTTTAAAGCTCTGACCAAAACCAACCCAGCTTGGTTGAGACCAAACCAATTTGCCCAGGCTCAAGAGGGTCCTAAAGGCTATCCCAAGAAACATCAAACGCAAACTTAGATGAACTACCGAAAGAGATAGAGACACGCCAAAATAGGTTCGTCAAGCCAGGCGCTGATTCACGAACGGAGCGCCAAAACCTGACCGCAACGCGTTCTAACGAAGTTTGAGCAATTTTTACGAGAGCAACGTGATCTCCAACACAACTTCGACCTACACCAAGCTCATGTACTCACTTTGATGCAATCAACAATAAAAAACATGGATCTAGTGTTTAAACATTTTTTTGTTAGAAATTAAATGTCAAAATAGCATTGTCTTACTACTTTTCTGTACTTAGAAACGTTAAGGATTCCAATTGAGGCTAAGTAACCATTAACTCCATTGTCGTAAATTTTTAATAGATCTAAACCTTGTCGATTTCAACTAACAAACCTACCGTGGCGTAGCTCGTACTTCGTACTAACTTATAGAAACAAAATATGTGGACATTGTTTAATTATTTTGTATCAAATAATCCTCCAAAAATGGCATTTTTTTAATCCTAAGTTATATTACGCTTCGGTTTATAAAAATTATTTTTCATGCCAACAATTAAAACAACTTATTCAGTTTTTCATATTAGGATCTCATTAGCGTATTCTCACCTAAAATAAACTAACTTATGACACTCATTTAATTTTTCTTAACCACAGAAGTGAGTCATATAAGGTACACATGCCATTGTTTAGAACTACCTATACTACTCTTCGCGTTAGAATTTTTCATTTAACACATATAGGCATTTAAGTAAGCTAGCTTACTATATTTATTAGATCCATCTCTCATGCCATAATCTCAGTGCTTCATGAGCTCGTAACACCAGAGATGTTACAACCACGCAGCGCGCACAGGCCTAGGGCCTGGCGACGGCGGCACCTGCCCTGCTCAAGCAGCGCGGGGGAGGATGCAAGGCCGCGGCACTATCCATATTATAAAATATATACTAAAAGTTAGCATTATTAGAGAAGTTGATTTAGAACTGGTAACTAGCTTATACCATTGCGGGTGCCCTGTTATTGGGAGGAGCTAGTGGGCCCTAGGCCCTAGCTAATGCCTAATGGTAATGGCGCATCGGGCCAATCAGGACGCGTTGCTGAAACCGGGCTGCTAATTTACGTGTGTACGTATATGGCAGCCTACTCAGCAGATCGATCAGAAGCACGCATGCATACTAGCATGGCCTTAATTCCAGAGATGTCATGTACTCATGTCACCAATTGTTAAAAATAAAGATCCATACATAGTCTGGCTTATGTTATTAAGGAGTTGGATTACATATTTACATGCGCAAAAGTAGCATAGCGACATAACCAAGCTTAACAGACCGTTAAGCTGGAAAAAGAAACTTAAATGATTAGCTGCTAGGAAGTTTTGCAACTAGTTGGGGGATCAGGCATCTGGCCCCTACACTGCACTGCTGCTGAGGGTAATCGAGTCCAGGAGGTCCACAAAAATGTCTGTCCACGTTCTTTTCCTGTCTCTCGAAAATCCTGTCGCTCCTTTGCGTCCAAACTAGCCAGATGATCAATATCATCGAGAGGGTGAGTTGATTTTGTCTTCTCATCACCATGTGTGAGGCCGGAAACGGGAGATCATAATTCCAGTGGAGCTACTTCACTTCGATCCGTAAATGAAACTCCTGTCCAAGATCAGCTCAGAAATCCCTCCCCACCCACACATGCATCAAAAACTGTGATGCTGCTGCTTGGCTCGACGGGTTTGGTCGCCGATCGACTGGGGCTCGCGAACACGGAGAACGGAGAGGTGGGCCGGCGCGGGGGTGCCACTCTGCGGCCCAATGTGGGCCCAGTAGGAGGTAGACGGCCTCGTGAGTGGAAACGGGCCTGCGATGTGATGCCTTGCGTGTACTGTCCGTTTGATGTGAAACGTGTGCGGGCCAGAAAATCGTTCACAAGGCCCACCAAAGTAGTGTGCCGGTGAGGTCAGCCCAATTTACGAGTACTAGGGGTTGCAGAGCAGTTTGTGCTAACTGACTCCGAAACTTCTGTGTATTCTGATGTGACTTGGGAGTGGGAGAAGCTTGAAGTTCCAGATTCACCCTCTAATAAACTTCGTCGATGCAAGTTGTATGTTTTATATGTACAACCTTTCACTTCATCAGTTTAAGGTTGACAAGGATGAAAATATCCATTTTTCCACTGAATTTAATAAGCAACGGTTTTTACAAAAAAAATAGAGTTCACCGGAGTTTCCTTCCACGGTTGCTTTTCAAAGCCGGAAATAAATCTACTCCTGCTCCCAAGGAAAGCAACGGTGAACACTTATCCGGAAGTTACTCGGATATCCGTTTTTTTTAGGATACGGATACTAAAGCGGAAGATACGGATGTAATATCATCGATATCCGGCGGAGATAATCCGGATAAGTATCGGATATATCCGGATATTTAAAACGGATATTATCCGGAATTTATTTAAAATTTAAAAATCGAGTTGACCAAAACAACAATTGTAGATCTTGATGAGCTGAACAAACTTGGTATTCAAAACTTTTCAATTTGAAGTCATTTAGAGTTCATAATACTAGAGTCGTGAAAAACGAACAAGTTTTTATGACAGAAGTCATAAATTGTTTAGGTTACTGCATTTACCACCGGAGTTTAATCTAGGGTTCCAAAAAACTAGTTTGTAAACGGTTTTACACGAGTTCACCGGAGTTTCCTTCCACGGTTGCTTCATCGGCTTCGGCGTCAAATGAAAAAATGGCCTATATAAGGTTGTATATCTTGATTCAAATTTGGTATTCAAAACTTTTCAATTTGAGACAATCTAGGGTTCCGAAAACTAGTTCGACGCCGTTTCACAAATTTATCATAGCCGGAAATAACATCTTTCTACTCCTGCTAAAGTCAACTTCTCTCCCCAAACGCGAAGGCCTCGGATGAAAAAACGAGGTCCAGAGGCCCATATTCTCCCCATTTGAGAAAGTTTTATCAAGGCCCAACGAAACGCACTTGTGAAATTTGAATTACTGCTAGCCTATATAAGGATTGTAGATCTTGATGAGCTGAACAACTGAAACTCTCCCCACGCTGGAAAGTTGACCAAAACAAGAATTGTAGTCACTTGGTATTCAAAACTTTTCGAAGTCAGTTAGGAGGAAGTCGCACGCGACTCCGCAAATTTGACTTGGTCAAACTTGCTCAAATGAGACCTAAATGAACCAGATGCGAATCCAAGTTTGATCTCCTATACTAGCTTCGAGTTGCGAGCGTTTTATCGGCACTAGTTACGCTTAAATCTCGGCCGGCGCGCGGACTCCAGTATCCTGGGCAGGGAAGATTGGTGCTTATATGATGTTTGATGTATGATATCTATACGTATCTTTATCAGGCCGGCAGCAACACGCAGCAGCCGGAGCTCCGGCGGGCCGCAGCCCGCAGCCCGGCAGCCGACGATCCGTAATCGAGTCAATCCAGATTTGATATGTATCCGAACGCACCGCGATCCGTTTTCATCCCTACGCGCGGCACCAGCCTGCAGCAGCAGCACCAGCACGCAGACTAGCAGCAGGTCAGCAGCGACCGCCGAACTGCGAGGCAGCGAGGACTGTTCCTGTAAGTTGAGATTCAGGCTTCGAATTTCCTATTCAAATTGTTAGGGATAGCAATTTGTCCCCAAATTACTTAGTCTAGTCTCTTGATTTCATTTTAGGTCTCAACTATGAAAAAAAATAGTGGTACCATAGATTTGAGAACTTTGTTGCAAAGGGGAGAAACAGTCGCAAGATGAGGTTGAGCAAGAGAGAGTTATATATGCTCAATTTGTGGTTAAATTCTTGAATATATGAAATCATACTCAATTATGTGTCATATATTTCCTATATGTATACTGTGTGCAGCACTATACATGCCAAATATTAGCCTTTTGATTGTGATTTTTTTACCCTATACATTTTGAATACCCAGCTCCAAAATTCTGGGCCCACCACTAAGAAGTCCTTCCTTACTTTCCACGCAGAGTCCAGGCAGAATTGCACTATTGCACAGCTTCAGTCAATAAACCATATTGCCGCCGCCTCGCAGGAGGCCGGTGGGGCGTCCTCGTCGGCGTCGTCGGCCTCGTCTTACGATGGCTCGGCGTCCGGGCACTCCTGGATGCGGAAGGGGATGCACCTGCGGCGGCGGCAGCAGGTGGCCGTTAGGGGAGGGGGGAGAGCCGGTGGCGGCGATGTGCAGGATCTCGCACTGCCTCTCGGGATGTCCTTCGTGGCGGTGCTTGCCCAGGTGAGCGGGATGTATCTTGCCTCTTTCTCTTCCCGTCTACGCGGCGGAAAGACCCAAAGATTCAATCTTTACGCCCTTCGTGCGGTCCAGCTTGCCTTGCCATGTTTGGATGGTTAGAATTTTGTGCGAGCGTTCGCAAGAATATGTAGTTGGTTACTACTTATTCATTAATTGGTAGTTCCATTTAGACCCAAATTGTTGTTCCAGTATACCCTCAGCAATTGTTTGGTACTATTGTGATTAGAAGCTAGTCTTTTCTTTCTGCCATCCAAGTGGATGCTGTTCATTGAATTGTGATTATTTGGCTCTCCCAGTGGCGTTTGCATTGTGTGACAGTATCTCAAGACCCAGCTGCTCTGATCTTTAATGGAGTTTGTGACTGCATCATGTTCTACCAAACATGAGGTGCTGCTCAAGCCACTGAAGATTTCTATTTGATTCAGTGCAAAATTGATGAGTTCTGTCGAACTTGGGATAATGCTGTTTGAAGAAGGCCTCAATTCAAATGAACAAAATGTGTAAGAATTTTGAACTATTCAGTTCCGACTGGGGGAAAAGTATAGGAACTGTATACTTGTATATACTTTCTATAAAAGGTGGGTTACCTCTGTAAAAAAAAAGTAAAGGAACTTTGGACGAATCAGATCCTACTATTCTTGTTTGGCTCATGAAAGATTATTTTTGGCTGTTCAGTTCAGAACTTGCCATATGAGACATAGTTAAAGGGCTGGGGACGAGATACTTTGATTTTTAATGCCTATCTTGATTATTGTTCTGTTTGACTTGTGTTCTGTTGTTAACTGTTATTTTTGTTTTTTTTTTAATTCTGTGAGTTTGAATCTTAAGCACTGCATGCTTTTTTGTATCAAGGTGTAAATGTATGAGCATCTCATCCTAATATTCTAATTGATAGTGTGTGCTAGACTGTTTGCTACTTATATTTTTGGCCTAATAGGAGGAAGTACATTCTATCAGTAACTCAAATTGTGCAATTAGTGAAACGATTTAGGTGGATCTACTTGGGGCAACACCAATCAGCTTCAAAAGGTAACACTTCCTTCTCTTACAGGTTCTGAATAGATGCAGTGGTTCTGAAGGAAGATTACGACCTGATGTCCTCTCAAAGGTACATATGCGTCTTCTCATAAATGATTGCTGTTTGGAACAAAACTATGGATGTCCTCACACCAATTCTGGACGCAGATGTGTACCTCGGCAGTGAAGGAGTCCTTAACAAATGTATGGGCAGGCCAGTTTCTTTTTCACTACTCTGTTTCCGCTTCCCATAAGCTTCTTATATCTCCTTTTTTTTTTTGCGGTGTAGATTTATGGTGACAGATTTCAGAGTTTCATGAGTAACTTTGAGAAAGCTTTTGGTAGTACATTGAGAACGATTCACCTTATCAATGAAACACCTGTCTATGAGCAAGATATGGCACAATGTTCTTACAAAGATGGTAATTCTGTACCTGAAATCAAGTTGGGTGGTGCTGATTCATTACCTGAAATAAAGTTGGGTGGTGCTGATTCACCAAGTCAGATACGTGATGTCCAAACTGACATGCCCTCAAGTTCCATGAATAATCAGATTGTTCTTCATGCGGGCATCAATCATCAGCTGGTTCACCTTACTCGTAGCAGATCTAATCCAGAAATTGATCAGCACATCCTTAGTGTATTTGAGAGATCTCTGAATGAGCAAGCTCGTTCAAATGAGCTCAAGGAGCTTGAAATAGGACTTGCTATGAGAAAATTGCAATTGAGCCGATCTCAGTTAGCTCTGAGCTCTGACTCACACATGTTAGAGAAGATCAAAGTTCGTATGGGATTTCAGAAAGCCTCTTTCAAAGAGAAGAAATTCAAGACGGAAATGGAGGATACAAAGCATGCAGAACTTTTCAGGAAACTTATAGATATGCTTCTTACTGCAGTGGTACTCATGTCTGTCTGTTTTGGATATGGAACATATATTTACTCGTACCAGCAGATAACTGCTGCTACTTCAGCTTGTGCAGCAAATTTCAAGGGTATGTACCACATTTTTTTGATACAAATTAACTGTTTCCGGTGCTATTGTTGAGACGCTCATATCATGTGCTCCCTTTTGTTGCAGGAGTATACATCTTGGTGGATGCCAAGTTCAGTGTCAGCATTGAACTCTGGTTTGCTGCTTTTCAAATGCCATGTGATAGCAGCAACAAGGATATTCTTTGGAATTTTGATGCTCCTATTAATTGGTTGGTTGATTTTCCAGCGTTCTGCAATGGCTGGACCAAACATGCCAGTAACATTCAATGTTATGATATTGGGAGTTCTTTGTGGTTATTTTGGAAGCCGTTGTGTCGACACACTAGGCGGGGATGGAAATGTATGGCTTATATACTGGGAGGCCCTTTGCTCCATCCATTTACTTGGAAACATTTGGCCATCTCTTTTACATCGCATGCTCTATGGTCCTATTTCTGTGGCTCACAAGACCAAGGCTGTTCATTTACCATATTGGGCCCGCCGATACACATTTTATGTTTTGGTGTCACTTATTCTGCCATGCTTGGCTGGTTTGCTGCCATTTGCATCTCTGTCAGACTGGAAAGAGCTTGCAGTTCAATGTTTGAAGTCCAGATTCAATGGAAGTAACATTGAGGATTGATTATTGAAAGATTGGTTGTGGTTATCGGTGTAAGGTCAGACCCATTTTCCAAGGTGTAAAGGTTTTTGCAGTTTTAGCCACTGTTGTCCATTAGGACCACATATGAATTGGATTTCAGTGTAGCAAAGGAGGAAAGCTATTTTGTTTGGCTTCCTTTCATCCTTGGACCGAAGATATGTAAACAGAGTTATTGGAATGACAACAAAATCTCTCCTTATCTTGTAGTGGAATATCAGATGGGCCAGGTTCTGTAGTTGTGCTCCTATGTGCACCGCTACCGATATCAAGAGCAAGACGCTTCATATCGCCTATGTAATTTATTGTTACCAGGAAGCTTATAAAAATAATTAGTCTCTGCAGTTTTATTGCATATTTTTTGTGGCTCTTTTGTGTAAGGACATTTTCAACGGTGATTGGAATCTAATGATTTCCCTTCCCTTCTCCATGGTCTGGATGGTCTCACTCATCCCATTAGTTGCAGTTCTTTTCTTCAGAATGAAAGTTTTGCTTGCACATAGTTCTTCAGATGCATATATGTTGTAAAGGGGCTCAGAAGCTCAATGTACACGTTATTTGTATTTGTTATGTGTACAGCAGTGATGTACGGTGATATAGATCTGTTTGTGCAATGCTCTCATTCAGTTCTTCAACAGAACTTGCTTATGTTTGTGCAATGCTCTCATTCAGAATAAGTGGAATCAAACTACTGCTAGTGATGCAGCTGTTAGTTTGCTGCATGAAAGTGGTCTCTGCACAAATGGGTGCACAAGTGGTCTCTGCACAACTGTTAGCTTGCTGCATGGAAGGTATTTGTATTGTCTTTGTAGCTTGCTAGTGCATGCAGCTGTTAGCCTGTTACTACTGCTAGGACGTGGTTATTGCCCATCCTCACTGAGTCATAATGTAGGGATTCAACATATGCAGCACACGGGTACATCAGTTGATTTCAGTATGTTTGATCACAGTTTTATGATGTCGATCAAAATAGACAATCGATGTTGCTTTTGTGTGGCGCTTAGGCATATATGATCGGCTACAGAGTACAGAAACAAGAATTCTAGGCGCTCTGTTAACATCAGCAAAAATGGAATTTGACCTGTACAAGCAACAGGTATGGAGACATGGCTAGAAACAGAACACGAAATATCAGAGCATTATTGACCAACCGCTGTATTATACTGCCAGCGTACATCTTTCACGCAACACTTTTGACATTAGAGTAATTTCCCGTTTGGCCAAAATGTCAAGCACTAGATCAGCCGGATATTCAGGCACACATAATCTGAAATAGTCCTAAGAGCATGGTGTAAAGGGCGGACAAGCATGAAAAGAACCACTGGAACCGAACACAAATTGCCCACATTGGAGCAAACATTGTTGCTTCTACCTTCCCCTAAACTACAAAACATGAAAATGGTACAGTGAGCAAGGGATGACCTCCCCCTAAACTACAAAGCATGAAAATGGTACACTGAGCAAGGGATGCCTTCAGATTGAGGGATCATTCTCGGAATTCAGGCCAGGGGTCATCCTCATTATAGCAACAGCTCACGCATGTAAGTTAAATCTATAAAATGAAAAAAAAAAATCATTAGTACTGGCAAGTTCAGCTAAATATTTTCTTGAGTGATAAGATGGAGGTGATCAAACCAGTTGTTTGTTTAATAGGAAGCTGGAAGACTTACCAGCTTATGTAAAATCAAATATGTTAGCAATCAATGAGAACATCAGGCGCCATATTGTTGCAGCGGTCTCTGCACAAAAGGGTGCTCAAATAGCTGAGCGGCAGATGGCCGGTCATTTGGATTTGCTTGGACACACTTCTTTATGAAATCACGCGCATCTTCTGATAATGTATTAGGAAATTCTGGTGGTATTCCCCTACCAATTTTAAGCAAAGCATGTGTCTACAAAACAGGAGAAATATGATATCATTCACCATGAAAGTATAGCCTTCTATCCAGAGAGGTGCTACTTGTGTGTGCGCATTTACGATATTTCTCATAAAAATAATGGAATCATCTAGACCAAGACTACTGCTATTTTTGGTCCACTATACCGTATGACATTTGCACAAACAAACAAAGATAGATAAACAGCAAATCTATCAGTCAGGAAAGGTAGCCACACGAATCTTGTTTCTTTCTTCTTGTATTCAAAGTTTAAACTTTAAATTCCGTTGTATATACAAGTTTGTTACTGCTGCAGCAGAAAATTGAGGAGGCACAATCACTCACCCATGCCATATCAGGGTATGGCACATTGCCTGTCAGCATCTCCAAAACTGTGCAGCCAAGACTCCATATGTCCGCTGGAGGTCCATGTGGGCCTTAGCAACCTAATAATGAAAATATGCCATCAGGAAATGCCCACAATATTGGGTCGCAACTTGCAAGACCAAATTTGATCATCACTTTTGTGACAAAGTAAGGGCGCGTTTAGATGCAATTTTTTTGGGTTTTGGCTACTGTAGCACTTTCGTTTGTATTTAGCAATTAGCATCTAATTATGGACTAATTAGGTTCGAAAGTTTCGTCTCGCGATTTCTCACCCAACTGTGCAATTAGTTTTTTTTTTCATTTACATTTAGTACTCCATGCATGTGCCGCAAGATTCGATGTGATGGGTACTGCGCAAAATTTTTTGGGAACTAAATAGGCCCTAAAGTAACAGCTTGAAGTCATATCACGCTTTTGTTTGTCACAGTGCTTACAAGTTTTTCAGTTACAACTAGCTAGCTTGATTTTCAAAAGCGGGCTCATAAGTATCAAACTTGCCATTGTCAAGTAACTGAACTACGGAAAGGCACATCATTAAGGTTGAAACAGCAAGGATATTTTTGGGAAATCTCCACTTGAGATACTTAGAATTATATTCTGGATTATTTTAAGAATTCAACATGGTACTGTAAGATCACTGAGATAGAAACAGCGCAGAACCACAACTGCACATACTAACCTCAGGGGCCCATCCAGTAGACAGTTCCCTTAGCTAGATTTTGCTTGGCTCAAAATTGACATCTTGCAAATGCAAATTAGAAAGAGTCAGGACAACATGTAGATGTAGAACTTAGATGAATCTTACGGTGTTTAGAATGTCGCAATGAATACCTCCTTTGCAAGTCCAAAATCTGCCAATTTGACCAACCGCTTGCATCAACTCGGATATTGGCACATTTTATATCTCTAGTCTAGTAACATAGGGGATGAGCATGTTCAATATCCAGATAAGATAAACTTATATCCAGATATAAAGTAGAAAATCAAATTGATGTATCATTCTATTTCAATCCTAACTCACCTGTGCAGAACATTCCGCTGATGTAGATAGTGCAACCCGTTCAGAATCTTGCAAACAGTATTTTTGATATAAAGCTGCCAAAGATCCTTGAGTAACAAGTTCAAGAAAAATATATAGTTTCCCACCTTCCTGCAAAGAATTCGTCCCACAAATTTAACATTAAAAAAACGTTCATGATGGACAGCTGCCATATACTTTAAGATAGCATGTAATACGAGAGCACAAAACGGAGCACAACAAAGCAATCACCACATAGAGCAAATTTTATTATAGAAAATAAATGTATGCTTATTGCTTATCATAGTTTTATTCTGGAAATGAATTTCATGACTATAGAAATGAGTTTAGTACCTTATCTGTTCCAAAATACTGAACTATATTTTCATGCTCCAAACGACTCAAGAGAGATATCTCCTGAAACAGTGAAACAAAATAATTAGCTATTATCAGTGGAAGTCAAGAAAAATAGTTGGATGATTGAGAAACATGTTTGAAGCAGCGTAATCAGCATAATTCTCAAGCATGCATAATTCATAACTCACTTGTTCAAGCTGCAGAATGCGTTGTTTTGCATTGAGTCCTTGGTCCATTAATGATACTTCCTTGACAGCAAAAGAAAAAGCCATCACTGTAAAAAACATGTTAGAAGTCAGTCTCTGAAATATTGTGTTCCACAGGATGTATGTGTTCAACAAACTGTCTGAATGTTTTCCCACCAAATAGCCTGTTGGCTGCATTTGATAAAAGAATAATTTGTGAACTCTGGAGTTCCTATGAAAATGATAAATTGATCTCATATAATGCTAGCCAACATCAAGAAACGGCATCACAGGCAACCTGTGAAAAGATCGATATATGCATGCCAATCTTATAATGATTATATATATAACTAAATATTGTTTCTGGCACAGAGAATCCTAATGAAGTGAAAGCTCAGATGGGACACAGGACTCTGCATGAAACAACAGGAGATTTTATTCCCTCAACCAAAGATTCCAAAGATAGACTAAAATCCAATGAATAAGACTTGACTTAGGATCAACTGCAAAACTGATGTCCAGTATATTCTTTTGAAAGTCAGGCAATAGTTAAGCACGCCTAAAATGAGAAGTATTACATCGATTGCAATAGTTAAGCACGCCCAAAGACTTAGCCTTAGATAGGAATGCTTGGAAGACAGCTATTCACGTGCCTGAACCTTGATTGTTTCTGTTGGGTTTCAACTCTAGCCTACCCCAACTTGTTTGGGACTTAAAGGCTTTGTTGTTGTTGTTGTATTACATCGATTGCAATATATTTGAAAACTGCTAGTAGCACCATAAGATCCCAATTATGCCACACTAAGATTAGTGAACTTGATAGCTGATATACCAGATCATAAACACAGTTTCAGCAATACAGTACTATGCATATTCTTGCAGAGCAAAAATGTAGCTGTGCTTCCACTGTCCTCTCTGTCCTAGTTAATTATGACACAAACAAAAACTCAATAATGCGAATATGGTATAATTATCATGAAGTAGTAAGATCCAAACTTACTCATTGATCGGTACACTGACCCAAAAGATCCACTGACGAGATGCTGTCCCTTGAGCCAAGACGTGATAGTTCTCTTAAACCGCCTGTTTGGTGACGGCAAGATCAAATACTCGGTGCTCCGAGCAGGGGACTCCGCTACAGCTTGAACAACGGCAGCGGTAGTCTCTCCACCGCTTTTGTTCTCTCCACTCGTAGCTGATCCACCTTGACCACATCGCCCTTTCCCTTCACTCCGTCTGCAGTCCTCTCCTTCACCACGGCGGCAATCACTCCTCTGGAAGATTCCCCTGTCTCCTGGACTGCTCTGTTGCTTGATTAGGTTCCAGATCCCTTGTATGATCGTGCAGAAACTTCAGCAGCCTCCAGTTGGACTACTTTGGCAGCCAACACAGCTTGCTCTTCACCCTCGACGGCTGTATCCAGCCTCGCTGCGACCACGGCATCCCGTCCAGAAACATCTAGCGGCCCATGTGGTGTTGGTACCATCCCCTCAGCGCCCACACCCGGCAGCAGCTGCGGCGCCCGGCGTGGACAGCCAGGCGGGATGGTGAAGTCCTCGGGGTTCCGAATAACATAGTATTTCCATATTACTACAATAACATAGTATTTCCATATTACTAGAGCTCAGACTGACAAATTTAAGACTACAAAATCTATCCTGCCAAGTTCAGAACCAACAACAAAACAGAATAACCGAACATCATCCAGGCACTTCCTGACTTAACACTGACACTGCAACAAGTCTCGATCACTATGAACAACAAAAAACTCAACACCAGATAGATAACAAAGTCGAGATTCAGCTACCGTACTTCAGTAGAGGATACAAAATTAGCTGGTAATCAAGCATCAATGCATTTGAATGCCATAAAATAGAATGCCTAGATACTGCTCAGCCCAGTCCACCCTTCACTCAGCCAGGTCCATGAGCGTCTTGGTCACTACCTTGGTCAGGTCGTGGCGGCGCAGATGCAGTTTCATCTGTGCATGCCTCTGCCTCTTGATCTTCTCGTCCAGTGCACGGGCCTTGCTATCGTCGATCATCGCAAACTCCCGCTTGAACAAGCCCGGGTGTGCCTTCTGAAGCGCCTTCACCTCCTCCGCAAGGTATGGGTACAGCTCACACATCTCGTCAGGCTCCCTCCCAGCACCACTGTTAGCCGCCGCCTTGGTAACGGAAGGCCAGACGTTCTTGAAGAGGTCGAAGAGACGGCGGTCGTGATCCTTGCTCGGCAGCGCGCCCTTCTTGACCGCTTTAGTGTTCCGGCTCTGCAAGCTCTTCACCTTCCTCTTGAGCTCGGAGAGGCTGCAGCCACTGTTGTCGAGCTTGCCAGCGAGGGCGTTGGCCAGCACGTCTATTTGAGGCAGCGTGCCGTGCTCCAGGCGGTGCGCAGCGAGGGCCTCCAGGATGCGGAACTCGTCGTCAGTCGACCAGGTGCGCTGGAACGGCGCGCCCGGCCGCTTTGCGCCCTTAGCCTCCATCTCTTGATTTGGAGCGGGCTTCGTCTGCGGCATCTCGTCGTCCGCCTCCTCCTCCTCCTCCTCCTCTTCTTCGTCGGAAGTCTCGGATTCCTCGCGAGTCAGCGGCGGCGGAGGCGGGTTCTTGGTGGCGGAAGAAGGGATCACGTGGTTGGCCTTCTCGTCCTCTTCTTCGTCCTCCTCTTCCTCCTCGCCATCCTCATCCTCATCCTCATCGGACGCTTCGGATTCCTGGTCCTTCGGCCGCGGCGGAGCAATGCTCTTGGGAGCGGCCGGAGGCGGTGAGTGGGCGATCTCCTCCTCCTCCTCCTCGGAGCCCGAACCAGAGGTGCTCTCCTCGGAGGAGGCAACCGGGGGCGGAGGTGGAGCCGAGTGCTTGGGGGCCATCGCCGCCGCCGCTCTAGGGTTTAGAGGTTTAGGACAAGCGGGGGAGGCGGCGCGGGGCTGGGGGCTTCCCGGCGCCGTGGTTTTGTGTCCTTGCTTATAGGGCCCGATTGGGACGCTCATCCGTTGGATTTGGCACTGGAGTGAGAATCTGCCGTCCATTTCCTCTGAAAACGCGGACAGTGTCTGCGACCCTGTTAGCCGTTCCACTCGGGGCGTCGAAACATCTTCTTCAACTCAGAGTTCAGGCATGTTCAGTGTACAACGTTCAAGGGTAATGCAGGTCGTGCTACTCACTCCCAGTGTTCATTATAGAAATCACCAGTTCAGAATCTGAAATCAGTCGAACACGAAGCAACCACAGCACTCACACAGCAAAACCCAAGGCCATTGCCTATCGATTCTCACCGGAGACACTCATGGTTCCAGCATCATTCTCTGCCGAGTTGCTTCGGAAACAACAGGGGAAAACAGCTTGTCGCTTGATGCAGCATGGTTGCAGGATCGGGACCGCTTGGAAACCACTGGCTTTGGTCAGTGCTCAATACTGTGAGGCCGTCAGGTGCATCAAGCTCGACGCGTCGAACAGCTCCATGAACCTCTGGTCAGTGCTCCTCGCCTTGAAGTGCAGGTACTCATCGAACACTGAAAACTGGCACCACTTCTGCAGCTTCCTCAGGCATCCGACGACGCAGCCAGTCTGGTGCTGAAAGAAAACACTCGCCGCGTCAGCGTCAGGGAGATCAAATGCTATCGTAGTATCGTGGAAGGGAAATGCTGAACTGGAATGCAAGAGGCTTACCTTGCCTCTCTTGCAGTGGATGAGCACCGGCTGGTTTCTTACGTCTGAATAGATTGAAACAGGAGAAGAGTTAGAGATGTCAGGTGGTGAAAGTTGCAATGGCATAAAGTAGAATTGTAGAAGTATCAGTGAATGCCGGTACCGAGAATAACTTTGAGCGCCTCTCGGATCGTTTCTTCAGGGATGTCGACGAATGGTTCCTGCACCAACATGGTATCCGATAGTTGACATACATGGATGAAACTAAAAGGAAAAGTTTGAGGAGTGAAACACACCTTGATAGTTCATGGATGAAACTAAGCCCAAAAGTAAACTTTAAAGACCGAAACAATCGTCTTGAAAGTTCAGGGACAAAACTGAGTCTCATGTGATAGTTGGGGGCTAAAATGACTATTCTGCCTCAAGTTTTCTTCCGACTGCACTCATGTTTTTAGAGATGATTGTGGACCAATATTGCAAGTAACCAACTGTAGCCATAGGTTTGGCCCAAGTTAGCACGCATGAAATTCAACAATGGATTGTAGATCGGTTGGTTTCCCTTTCTTTTTCCAGATTTGGAGCCTGTTTGGTAGCTTGCCCTGGTAAATTTGGTGTATTGTACTTTCAACAGCCCATCTTCAGTTTTAAGTATTTAGGCCCATAAACGGCCTAACGGGAAATGAAGCAGCTGAAGACTTGGGCAGTACTGGGTTGGGCTGACAATTTCTTTGATTATCCTTCAACAATGGGCTGCCTTCAGGTTAACATTTTCAGCGACCCAACGAACGCAAGGATTCGTGTTTTGCGGCGCCTACGAAAGAAACCGAGGGTGGCAAGATCGTTCGCCGACGACAGTAAAAATCAGGAGCAGATTTGCGAATGGGCCTACCGTGCAGTGGTAGTGCCATGCTACCACCAAGGTTTAAACTTGAGTGATCATATCTTTTTCTAGAATTTTTCTAGAAATTTTAAGGTACACGCACGTATGCGCGTTCGGTGGTACTGTGCGTTTCTCATGCACTGGAGGCGATGCCTCTCAATCTCCAGCCTATTCGGTTGGCTGGTTCGTATCGTTGCTGGTTCGTGAAGAAGTACTGCTGGCTGGTTTGTGTAAGAGAAAAATACTGTTTCGGCTGGAAATTTACGATTGTTTACAACAAGCCACAGCCAAACGAACATCTGCTCTTCTTTACGTGTCGCGCACACATGTGTACGTATGATGTGAATGCGAAGTGTATGGGTTACATGCGTCCAAGTTATACCCGATCAAAAAATTTAGGGGCAGATTTAATCCATGGATTTTTTTTTCGGTCGTAGCACAACACTTCGCTAAAACATGGTTGCATTATTAGTTTATTACTCCGTAACAAAATGATAAACTCCAAACCAAACTGGGCATATATTCCTATGATTTGTGAGCAAGGTTTTAAATTGCAGGCTATACTACATAGTGGCATCTAGAAGCTATAAAGTATAGCACAATTGTAACGGAACAATAACATATAGCGGTTTTAAGGTAACCATAGAAAATACAAGTAATTGATTCACAAAAATATTAGAACCACGAAATTTGATGACACAAATCTGTTTACAAGGCATCAGGAGTCTAGGAAACATTACTTAATATGGCACATGAGACTCAGAGTGTTCAATTTTTCAAAAGACCAACTTAGCAGCAAAATATAAAATAGATAATCCCCTTATTTGCTTGAGCTTATTCAGAACTACTTTTTAGACATGGAACCGTGTTTTTCTCTCACAACATTTCAGCATAAGCATCAACATAAGCCAAATTTTAGCATCAGCGAACAGGGTGAACTAAATTGTCACTCTTATAGCTAAAATTGAAATAGCAACACTATTTCAAAGCTACAACCAAACAATTTAGCAGCGCCAAAGTGCAATATAAAGGTCGTATAGTTGACATAGCGGAAAAAATAGCAATAGCTTAGCGTGGGTTCTCTCCATAAGCTAACCTTAAATCCATGTTTGTGGGGTATAATCACTCGTTATCAAACAAGAAAGTAATCATAGCAGCTAAAGATTGGCAATTAAAAGAAGCATCTGAAAAGAAAGGAAGAATCATGTGGACCTATTCTACCATAGGAAAGAACCATCTCCAGTTACAAAATACTATGTATGTTTTAACAACGCGAACAAGCAGCTGAAGCTTGCCACTTCACAGACCAAGCAATTCAACACCCTCTGCTCCTCACTGAAGAGCAAGCAATCAGCCGACTCTGGTTCTGAAGGAATTTGAATGGTTTGGATGAATTCTGGAGAAATCTGTGAGAGAAAAACACTGTTCCAGAATGAAAAAAGAAACAGATCAAGTCGGGTTTAAGGGCACGCGAACGGAGCCTCAGAAAATGCCGTCCACTCCCCATAGCATATTTGATTCATAAACAAAATTCTTCTCAACGTTTCAAAAGGCAATATGATAGCATCGATAAAGTGACCTTTATACATATGCCCAGAAAGCAAACAGATAGGAAGTCCCTTTCCGAAAGGACTGGATGTCAGTTCACAATCCGTCGAAATCACTCTGGAAAGTGCTCCACAGTCTTACACATACTGTATATTCATTCATCATTGCGTTCAAAAAAATATATTCATTCATCAGAACGCGGCGAAGGCCAACCACAGATGTCCGAATCGAACACCCAATTTGGCCATAAAGAACCAAGCGAAAACGAAAGGTTCATAGCAGGCTGCAAGAGACATGGTATCGGCGAAGTACACATCAACAGGTTTTCAAATCCTTTTTGTTCCTTTGCTTGATAATGGAAGAAACAGTAACATACGATTAAGTTATTGTAATTAATTCCAAATCCCTCACAATTCTTTTTTTTCTCTTTTCTTCTATGTCAGTTTCTAGAACAAGAGCACAGATTCTAAAAGGAACAGTCAACACATACCACATCCTAGAGGACAACCCACAAAGCAACAAACACTCCCTTAAGCACACCCAGCCATAAGGCAAACTGGCATCTTTGGACCACAGCGCAAACTGCTTCGCAAAATCTCAGCAGTGTAATAGGAATAACAAGAGAAAAAAAAACACAACACAAGAAAAGAAAATACCCTCCGAGATGAAAAATAAAATAGACAAGGAAGGGGCTCTAATGCCTAGCACCAGGGAGCTCAACCTAAATGTGCCCTAGAACCTTTTTCCCAGTCATTGAACATTTCTCGTGGGAAGACAGTCCCATAGCTTCACTTTCTTTTTCCTTTTCCGCTTGCATGAGAAAATGGAAGAGAACCGATGACAAATGATGGTTTCTTGACATTGTACACATCAAATTTATCATTCAGGTTGAAGTCCATTCCAGAGGCTATCTCATTCCCTAGTTCACCTAGCGCATGGCATCATCCTTGTGTTGCAACTTTGTTGGGTTGCTCCTTGTTACTACAGGCATCAAGTACTTCTGGAACATTGTTGCTCTGCTCCTCATTTTCCTTGGTTGTATCATGTACCATCCCAACATTGTTGCCCTGCCCCTCATTACTCTTGGCTCTACCAAATTCTGTGGCACTTACCAATTGTGTTTGCCTTTTAATTTCTGCAGTTTTTTCAGCTTTTGGCTGCATAGAAGATGAAAATCAATGAGGGACATAATAATCGTTATTTGTTAATGATAATGTAAATGACAGATTACTATTATTAGGAGATATTAATATGTGCAACTAAAATCTTCTGTCACCAAAAGCCAATCGGGTCAATTAAGTTACAGAAAAAAATACTGGACCAAAGAATTCAAAATGACAAGTTCTTTACCCAGAAAAAAAGCACTTAGAATAGCCAAACAGATTATATTTGTTAAGAAATGTAAAATGATATGGAGATGATTCTCATTATCTATTTTGTCCAATTGTATTATTTCCTTGTGTATTCCTATAGGAAGTTCTAGGTCTCAATTGAAATACCCATAACCTTCCACCAAACATAAACCAAGAAGCATAGCACTGCCATTTTGACCAAGTAAAACTATTTGCTTTATATGGTCCGTAAATACAATGAACAAATAGAAACAAATAATATTGTTGTTAAAGAATAGGAGTTCAGACTATTCAGTTCATCACTCCATACCAATGGGTGATCAAACGACGTAGTAAGCGGCTTGCCTCTTCTGTCCTGCATTACTTTTTGCCGATTTTCGTAGAAGTCAAAGTCATCCAGTATTGATGTTTTACACGCAAAGTTCTTGAAAATGTTCAACAT